GATTGCACTCGGATCCTTGAGCTTGCGAGGCAGGTGGTGGAACCACTGAGCTAAAGCCCTGGCCCAGAAATGTGGCTTTTGTCAACCAGAGATGGAGCGACTTCTCAGCTCAGCAACCTGGGGATAGGAGGTCTGGGGGTGGATGGGTACTCAGAATGGGGAGGAGGAGGAGTTAACATGGAAAGGGGGCTTGGTAGCCTTTGTGGTGGGACAGCTGGGCCTGAGGAGAAAGGAGGCCTCAAAACACAAAGCACTGAGCAGTTGTCTTCCCTGTGCTGTTCCGTCATCCCCACCACTCTGTCACGACGTCTGTGACGGATGACGGGGGGTGGTGCGAGACCAGGGACGGGACTCTGCTGAGGGCAGAGGGACTCTCACCAAGAGTGGGGCAGCAAGACGGGAGGAGAAGTGGCCTGGAAGTGATATTCAGAGTGGGGGGGCCAGAGGGCGCAAGAACCGCTGGGCCTCCTCAGAAATGCCAGGGAAGTCTCCAGGCAGAGACTTGAGCTGTTCTGTGTGACTACGAAAGGAAAGGCTGGCCCCAGGAGGCCGGGGGCAGGGAGGGGCTGGGGAACCCCTGTTGATACCAAAGCTTTAGCCCAGTGGCTCCTCTCAGCAGATGCTTGGAAATGGCACACGTGCCTCCGTTGTTGCGACTACAGAGCTCACCGGCAGACCAGAGTCAGAGTGTGGGCTCAGCACCTGGCTGTGTCCCTTCAGGTGAGTTTCTGTGCCTCTGCCTTTCGGTTTCTCACCTGGGAAATGGGGACACAATTAACCACTAGCTCAGGAGGTTGCGATGAGGGATCGAAGAGTTAATGCATGTAAAGCTAAGACTAAGCACAGTGCCTGGGACTGTCTGCATCTGGCACACACAAGCCATTGTTATTGCTATGGTTTTGTGTATGAGAAAACAGAGAATCACGAGGTGGACATTTGACCAGGGTCCTTAAGCTCCCAGGGCACAGGTAAACCAGGTGTCGAACAACAACAAAAAATAAGTCTTGACTGGCACCTGGCAGCTCTGGCATGTGAATACTCCCACATTGGCAGAGGTCAAGCTACTGATCGATAAACCACCATTCACCAAATTCCAGGGAGCTGAACAGCTGCCTCTTGCTGCTGTAAGACATCACTGCGGCAGCGGGCGCTTAGGACGAAGCCTTGGACATGGAGTATTTGGAAATATTGGCTAGGATGACAAAAACAAAAACAAAACAAAACAAAAAAACAGTGTCTACTGAGTGCTCTCTTTGCCTCCATTTCACAGAACAGAAGATGCAGGTCTGGAGTCCAGCTACCGGTTAGGTCACAGCACAAGGTGGCCGCTCACTGTCCTGTCTGCCCCAAGCGCTGTCCTCTCACAGGGCTGCACATAAACCTACCTCTGGCTGTCTTCCTGTGCTCCCTTCGAGGGGATTTCCCAGGCCCCAGGCAGATGGGGGCCCTGTCCCTTCCTGGATTGGCTGCTCCACCTCAAAAGCCCTGCCGAGGTGTGACAGGAGGAAGCCCTTGATGGCTGAGCTCCTGCCAAGCCACCTGTGCCTCACTGTCCCAAGCTCAGGTCTGTCCTGGCTTGTCCTTGCCACATGGAGGCTTGGAAAAGCCTGTTTTTGGCAGCGGGTGAACAGAGGGCCTTCATCCTGAAGGTGCTAGGGGATGCAGTTAGGGGATTCATTGTGCTCTGGTGGGTAGAAGGATGCAGGTGGCGGGGGGGAGGTCAGGATCGTGGTGAGTGGGAAATTTTCAGCCCTGCGGGCAGGGTGGCTTAGTGCCAGCTAGGGACTCAGGTGAGTCACACTGCCAAAGTCGCCTGAGGCTGGGCACCAATGCCCTTTAGTCAGAGTGGGAGAGCCGACGTTTTTGTGGCTCTTGATTCTAGCTGATCCCTGAACTAACCTGGGTGTTACTCACATTTGCCTGGTGAGCTGGGGTTGCTTCCACATGACGCTTCCAAGAACCATGTGGCTAAAGGGACCAAGGGACACTCTTCCCTTTACCTCAAGCCCCAGTGCAGGGGCAGCGCTCTGGTCTCAGGGGAGCCAGGAGAATTAGATGCCTTTGAGCTCTTCGTGCTGGGGGTTGGGAAAGGTCCCCTAATGGTCTTGGTGGGGCTCAGGAAGGGTGAAGGATGTTGGCAGGGCAGGGGTAGGGGAGCCAGGCAAGAAAGGAGAGAGGGAGAAGGGCCAGGGATGGTGGAAAGCCCACGACTTGTAGCTGTTTTGACCTGGAGCTAAGAAGCCAAGATCGAAAAGTGGTCCAGGTGGGGAAAGGGTGGGGGCTGCGGCTGGAGACTGTGCAGGGTTGGGCAGTCCATCTGCCAATGACACTCTCGGACCTGGGCCTCCATTCCTGCAGCACTAGGGGGGAATGCAGTAGGCACAGCTGGTGGTGGAGGATGGGGCCCCAGGGTACAGTGGTGTTGTAGCACAACTGCTCAGCATCCTGTATCTCCCCTCCCAGGGCCGCTTAGTTCACAGGGCCCCTTTCCTCAGTCCTCATCGAGTGAGGGGTGGCCCACCTTCTCCCTAAATTCATGTTCAGGCCGGTAGTTTCTGGAGATAGAAAGCAGGGCTCTAATTCTGGGCTGCTGGGTACGCTTCAGCAAGGCTCTTACACTCTCTGAGCCTCTTACGATTTCAGGGGTGCTGGGAAGATTAGGTGAAAGGGTAGATATGAAGGGTCTGGTACCAACAAAGTCAGGGTCTAGGGGCCACTGTAGGTGCTCTGGCAGCTCCAGTCAGCTTCCTGGGGATGGGCCCTGGCAAGAGCGGTCAGGCAGCCTCTTTACCCCCCCCACGTGTTCCCAGGCTGGGAGTTAGCTAGACCCTAAGTGGCCAGCCTAAAGTCAAGATCTAAGGACAGGGCATCCACACACACAGGAAAGGGGGCTTCTGGTCTCCCAGCCCCTCTCTCGGGTCCTATCCCTTCTGGCTCTGATGGCCTCTGTGGCCCCCAACAGGCCTGGAGGTTCCCTGGAGCACAGAGGCCAGAAAGGGACTTTCCTAATCTTATTGAGACACAGTCTAGCTGTCTGGGAAGATGGAGAAATAGCACATTCCTCCCGAAATAATTGTCCTAGAGCTATTTCCAGCGGGCTCTTAGTGCCCAGGCCAGAAATGGCTGGTGATCTCCATGCCCGGGTACCATCAGGACAAACAGCCCAAAGGCCCAGTCCTCTAGCTGGCTGCCCGCCTGCCCGCCCAGTCCCCACCCCAGAGCCAACCCAAGCCCTGGCTCAGGCCCCAAAAAGGAATTGTGGACACCACTTTCCTTACTCCCTGACCCCACTACTTTCCCTCTTTCTGGGGGAGCCGTCAGATCTCTCCTTTCTACTCCTTGTCTCAGCCACTGTAATTCCCCTACTGTGGGGCAAAGGCCCTTCACACTCTGCAGCTGTGCATGGGGGAGGCCCGGAGCAGGGGATCCTGGGCCAAAGTGTTTAGTAATCTTGGATCTGGTCATCAGAAAACATCAGATAAACCCAAATTGGAGAACATTCTCTGAAACAACTGGCCTGCACTCTTTTTTTTTTTTTTAATCTCATTGAGTTTATTGGTACTTTTTGGCTATACAGTACAGTTACATTCATCATTGGGATCTTGTACCTTTACATGACAGGTCTTGGTTCTCATTTTTTCCCCACACCCCTGCTCTCCCTGGCTTGCACTCTTCACGTCTGCTGGAGTCATTAAAGACAAAGCAAGGCAGACAAACTCTTCCAGACTGAAGGAAACTAAGGAGACATGAGAACTAAATGTCCCATATTGAATTGAATTCTGGACTTGAAAAACAGTTGCTATCAAGTACATTGCAGGGGCTATTGGTGACATCTGAATAGGGACTGTATATTGGATTATAGTATTGTACCAATATTTAATATCCTGGATTTGATCACGATAGTTTGCATATGTGAGAAAATGTCCTTGTTCTCCCAGCGAGTAACAGGTGCAACTGAATTCATCCTTGGTAAGAGACACTGCAACCTGCAAACTAACTAGCAAAATAGTAAGTACCTGTGTGTGGATAGAGTGATAAGCATGGCAGAAAGGCTAATAATAAATGGATTTGGGTGAAGAATGCATTTGAGAGTTCATAAATTTTCAGGAAGGTGGAGAATTTGCAGAGAGGCTAGACTGTTTGGTTTGTCGTTTCTGTCCTTTGCAATGCTGGGAATTGAACCCAGGGACTCACTTACACTAGGGAAGCCCTCTACTCTTACCCAAAACTGCATTTTCAATGTTGAGGTAGGAATACGATGAAGAGAAGATTTTTCTAGAAAATACGATGAGACCTTGAAAGAGGAGTTTTGTTTGTTTGTTTGTTTTGTTTTTATTTTTGTTTTGAGACAGGGTCTCACTATGTAGTTGAGACTGACCTGGAACTCACTGTGTAGCCCAGGCTGGTCTCGTGATCCTCCTGCCTCAGGTGTGCGCACCACCACACCCAGCATTTGAAAGAGGATTTTGTTCATTCATTCAACACACACTTCTGGTGTGCCCCCTGTGGACCAGGCCTCAGAGAGGGGCTTGGAGTTCCAAAAGGAACATGGAGATTTCCTCCCTTGAGATTCTCAGGCGCTCGACAGAGTCCCACTGATTAGGTGCTCAACCCAGGACTGTAGGCTGCCTTGGAAGGGAGAGAAGGGAGGAAGGAAGTTGCTATCATGTCCAAGAATGGGTCAACCAAAGGGACAGCGCTTGAGGGAGACTTGATAAGTGTTTGGTGACCTGATGTGAAAGAAAAGGAGAAATTGATGCTGACCACAGCAAACGGGATTGTCTTTGAGCTAGCATAAAACTTCCTGGCTCACAGCACAACCAAACATGAGGAAAACAACAAGGAACGCTGGAAAACAGCCACCTCAGCCTCATTTCAAAAATAGGGCCCATCTGTCCTGGCAGGCTTAAAGTGGCTCTGGCCCCAGCACAGGGGCCAGGCCGGGATGACCCCCAGAGGCCCCTCCGAGCTCTAGGATTCCATGATTCTATGACATGGCCAGCAGTCTGGAGTGGCAGCATGCAGGAATCCCCAGCAGAGAACCAGAGGAGGCCTATGTCATCTACCTCCAGAGACCCAGTGAGATAGCTGGCCCTTGGGGGGATGGGGTCAGGGCCACCAGAAAAGGAAAGTTGGGGTCCACGGTACCAGCCCTCAGTCACCTCCTATATTTGGGGGGGCGTCCAGGAAGGGAAGAGGACAGGGTCTGGGCATTTTGCCCATTTCAGACCCAAAGGACAAGGGCAGCTGAGAGGGGCAGGCAGCTGATTTCTGGGTGGGGTGGGCTCAAATACTACTCTTTTGGAACAAGGCAATCACAGCAAAGCAGCCTGTGCTGGTGTGGTCAGAGAGATGTCACAGCCTTCCTTCCAGTGGGGGTGGGCTTAGCATCAGGGAACCAAGGGACAATGGGACAACCCTGTCCTTGCCTGGGCCTAGGCAGGTTGGGAAGAGGAGATGGACTGCATGGGCTGAGAATTTCTTTGGCCTGGCCAGGTCTTTGTCTCTGTGAAGTCCCCACTCTGGGCTCAGAAAAGCAGGAACCCCAATGCCTCCTCCTCTGGTGGGGTGGGTGAGGAAGTCAGGCACCACCCAAGAGGATCAAAGTGAACAACTTAGCAAATTCTGAGGTCACAAATCCAGCCCCACAAGTAGTCTTGTTGCACTTTAATCCCACCCCCCACCCCCATCTGGGGTACCTAAAGTCAGGATCAGCCTATTTTGGGGGGTTAGCTAGAGCCCTCCTCCGCTGAACATCTCCCTACCAGTGCTCTCATCCAAGCAGGCAGGGCTGGTGTGGTGAGAATTCACACTTAGCAGGACTGTGGAGGAAGCCAAGGTCACTGCCATTGCAGCATTGTCTGTTGTGGGTCATTAGATGCCCCCAAGATGCTACCCTGGCCTTTACCCTGTGACTTACAGGCTGTGTGATCATCTCTCTGAGCATCAGTTTCCTCCGTCTGCTAACTGTGAATATAACACTCACTACTTCTTTGATTTAGTAGGAATTATTTAAAATAAGTTAACTCTCATAAGACCTGTGAAGGGTTACGCACACAGCAAGAACGTGTGTGGTGTCACTTTGGGGCCGAGACACATTTTCAGTATAGGGGTACACTGCACAGCTGTTCCATATCACCTAAAGCCTGTCTCTGCTTGGAATTTCTCCATTAGAGATTCCGATCTTGGCTTTTGTGGTTTCCTGGAGTCCTTTCATCAAAACTGATTGGGAATTTCAGAATGTGGGCTAGAACTAAAAAAAAAAAAAAAAAAAAAAAAAAGACACCAGCGAGGTGAAGCCTTGGGTTTAATCTCCAGTACTAAAATAAAAGAAAATATCTGGGTGTGGTGGTAGAGACAGAAGGATCGCCAGGCATTACATAGCAAGACCCTGCCTCAAAAATCCAGGGACGGAGGAAGAGGAAAGAGAGAAAGGGAAAGAAACAAAGAGACTGTCTCTTCCTTTCTAGGCAGTCCTCTGGCCTCAGTATTTCTGGGACTTCTTCCCCATCTCTTGCCCTTCTTTTGTGCTTTCTGTAGAAGTGGACATCCATCTTCCAGCTAGAGGATCCCCTGGGCCTGGGAGAAGGAGAGGGCGAGGAAACAGGGCAGTGCTGGGTCTCTGGGGGCAGCAGGGACCCTGGAGGGAGGTGGTGAGCTGACTAGGCTCTCTCCCCGCCAGGCCTAGGTAAGCAAACTGCAGCTGCTGTCCCAGCTCAGCCATCAGCTTGACTCGCACCTCTGGGACCATGTCCAGACGCCAGGCGAATCCTTCGAACACTTACAGCCACGTGGGCCACCCTAAATCTGCATCCTTCCCACCCCGATCCCCAGGCTGGCCCCAGGGCCCCAGCTTAAATAGGGTTAGCAGAGGCCCACACAGCTGCATCTGCAACGGTTCAGACTTCGGCACCTGCAGCAGCCACTCAGGGCAGTCCTTGGACCCCACCTCCCCCAGACTTTCCCAGGGAAGAGTGTGCACAGGCCAGTCCTACAGCTCCAGGTTTGCAGAGACCAGTCACCTGGTGAGAGGACCCGAGGTGGCCAGAATGCCCAATGGTCACAGCAGCGGCCCCCACTACCTGCTCTGTACGGACTGTCCTCCGAGCCATTCCAGCTCCACCTTCCTAGACCAGCTCATCAAGGGCATCAACTACCTGGACCAATCCACCAACGCCTTCTACAACTGCCCCCAAACCCTTAGTCTGCCCAAGCTTGCAGCCAACTACCTGGAACGAGCAGCCAACGCCTTCTACCTGGAGCACCTGGAACATGTGCCCCTCAGTTACTCCAGCCGCAGTGCCGGTGTGGCTGCCTCTGGCAGCTCCACTGCCAGCACCTGTGTGGTGCCTTCCCCCAGGGGTGCAAATACCTTGCAGTGCCTGGCCCGCTCCACCAGCGTGAGCAGGCAGCACCCACCTCAGAGCCAGGGCTTCACCCCTGTGCTCCCTCAGACGTCGGGTACCAAGCTGCCGGAGCTCCCTTTGTTCGGCAGTGGGCTCCTCAGTCATTTGCCCAAGGTCTAGGGAAGCCATCCGCTCAGGCTGGAGTGCCCTGGAGCTTAGCTCCAAGCCCTCTACCTGGTGGTGACACCAGCTGTGCCATGGGCACATGTCCACCAGGCCACATTTGTGGGAAATAAATTGTGGCATAATGCTCTTTATGCGTCTCTGTGAGGAAAATGGCCATTTAGATTGGGGCTTACAGTCCCACATTCAATCCCTGGTACCAAAAAAAAAAAAAAAAAAAAAAAAAAAAAAAAAAAAAAAAAAATGGGGAAAAAAAAAAAAAGAAAGAAAAAAGATTGGGGGTTACAAACTCAAGGGCCTCCAGGGACAGGTGGGCAAGAGTTAATGAGTGAACTGGGCTGGGGGCAGCAGGGCGTGGTGGAGACAGGCTAAGTGGATGCAGGATGCTTGGTCCCTACTTAGCTCTTAAATGGGTCATTGCCTCTGCAAGGAAAGCCAGAGATCTCATGGCAGGGGATGGGGGCAGGGATTCCAGTGGCCTTGAACTCCCAGGTTCAAGCAATCTTCCTGCCTCAGCCTTTTGAGTAGCTGTGACTACAGGTGTGCACTGCCACACCTGGCTTTAGAATCTGATTTTTATGTGTTAGCAACAAATTAAAAACTTACAAGGGCCAGCGATTTAGCTCAGTGGCACTGCACCTGCCTCAAAGGTCCTGAGTTCGAGCCCTGATATGGGGGGTGGGGTGGGGTGGGGGGTGGACTTGCAGGCTGAATGTGAGGCCCATAAGTCTCAGTTAGAAATGTCTGGTTTATATTTTGAGCAGATCACTAGGGAGGTTATGAGCCTCCTTCAGCCTCAGTTTTCCCATGTGCAGAAACAGACAAGTTGTCCGCTGCCCATCCCTATCTGCACTCCTTTTTAAGGCTGGTTATTTTAGCACAGTCCCAAGTGAGCAAAAGTGTAGAAGTAATAATAATAAGAAGAATGATAAACATATATATGACAGTGACTTCTAAGTACTTTATGCATATTTATTCTTTTTTGTTTATTTGTTTTTTGTTTTTGGTACCAGGGATTGAACTTGGATCCTTGCACTTGCAAGGCAGGTGGCAGAACCACTGAACTAGATCCCCGGCCTTATTTGTTCTTTTTTAATTTAGTATCGGGGATCAAATTCAAATGAATCTCATGATAGGCGGGTGCTCTATCACTGACCTACACCCTCAGCCTTTTTTGAAAAACTCTTTTTTTTTTAAGAGACAGATTCTTTCTTGCTAAGTTACTCAGGCTGGCCTCAGTCTCCAAGGTAGCTGGGAGTACAGGTGTATTAACTCTGATCCTGGCTTGATTTATTCTTTTAAAGATGTGATTTTAATCACATCTAAAGTAGGCACAAGAAGCCCTAGCTAGTATGAGAGGCACTGAACAGGCAACCACAGTGGCCACCGGATGGGGACAGCCCTTCCTGGGAGCTCTCTGCACAGAGGGCTTCCGTCTGGGTCAGGTGAGACTGGAGGTTCAGGATGAGCTAGGCGCTTTGTTCCTTGACTTTCTTGCCACGAATTTCAGGGAGAATGTTCCCTGGACCACAGAGGGCTCAGTGACCCCCACCAAGTCAGCTGTTGAGAGACCAGGGCTCAGGCCACCCAGCTGCGCACAACCCTTCTGGCCAAGGCACTCTGGAGACCTGGAGCAGCCTAGCTCTCTTAGCTCCAGGCCTCTATCTTCCCATCTGTGATGCTTTCTATGGGATTCCTTGACTCTGATGTTTCTGAGTGTCTCCCCTTGGTCACCAGCCAGGCTTGGTGCATCCCAATTTGAGGATGGATCTTGTCCCTACCCAAGAACCCTAGCTCCTATATCCCCAGCCACCTTTCCAGACTGCTCAAGCCCATTTCTGAAGATTTTTGTTTTTTTGTTTTGTTTTTTTTTTGTACCAGGGACTGAACTCAGGACCTTGCACTTGCGAGGCAGGTGATGGAACCACTGAAATAAATCCCTGGCCCTCAGGGCCATTTCTGTGTGGTTGCAAACTTCCAACCCGATTCTGCTGCTGGAGCCCTTCTGTTTTCTTGATGATGTGAAGGCCACTGGCATCTCAGAGTGTGGAATGAGGCTGACCTTGAGACAGTACAGAACCTGGGAACCCACAAGATTATCTGGCATGTGGAGGCAGTGACCTGTTATGACCTGGCCCCTGTGGCCAAGGAGAGAAGGTGACAGGTTTGAATATCCCCCTCCAAGGGATTGCCACAGTGGGGGTAGCCAGGGTAGGCAGATAGAAGGGGGCGCCAAACCCCTGGTCACTTAATTCTCCCCACTTGTATTCCACCTCTGGAGGACAAGGGAGATCCTCCATAGGCCAAAGCTGGATATACTGCACACTCCTTCCTCGGCCTCTGGCCTCCCTCTCCTCCCCAGGGAGAAGCCTGTGACTTAGTCCGATGGGCCCTTACCTGCTCCTGCTCCCCAGGTGGACACTCACAGGAACACAGCTCTTTAGAATCTCCAACCCCTCCGTCCAGCAGCTCAAGCCCCTGCTTCCTGTTCTAGGTCTCTGGGTGCCTGGCCAAGGCATGAGAACTGAATGTTCCTGGTTCTGCTGGGGGTGCTCACCTCAAAATGGTCCAGTTTCCCCAAGAGTGTAAGGCCCTTGGCCAGGGCTCTGCTCTTGAAGGTTTTCTGTAGCTGATTCAGTCCTGCTCACAACAGGGACTCAATCTTTATGTCCACGGTGGTTACAGGGCCTCATGACCACCATGCACATAGTAGCTATTACTCCAAGGATGATTACCTGCTTCATGTGATGGGTTTTCAATAACTAGTAATATTAAAGAGGCCAGCCAACATTTATTAAGCTCTTAACTACATGCCAGGTATTGCTTTAAGTGCTTCGGATTCATTCGATCCTCCCACTCACTATTAAAGGAAAGTACTACTGCCCTATTTTACAGATGAGGAAATTGAGGCCAAGAGGTCTGATACAAATGATCATGACAAAGAGCACAGAGTACAGTGGGTCTTCAAAAACAGTTGGCACGAGGCCCTCTCCTGCAGGCTGTGTTCCGCCATCTTCAGCGCCACAAGGTCATCTCGGCCTTGCCTTCTCCTGCAGGCTGCGTTGCGCCATATTCGGCACCAGAGGGTCTTCTCGGCCTCACCGGCTGCGTTCCACCATCTTCAGCGCCAGAGGGTCTTCTAGGCCTTGCCCTCTCCTGCAGGCTGCCTTCCCACCATCTTCAGCTCCAGAGGGTCATCTCGGCCTTGCCCTCTCCTGCAGGCTGCCTTCCCACCATCTTCAGCACCAGAGGGTCTTCTCGGCCTTGCCCTCTCCTGCAGGCTGCCTTCCCACCATCTTCAGCTCCAGAGGGTATTCTCGGCCTTGTCCTCTCCTGCAGGCTGCGTTCCACCATCTTCAGCGCCAGAAAGGTAGCCGCGCGGGAATCCCCGACCTTGCCCCAACCTTCCCCCTCGCGCTTTTAGACCTCCTGATTGCTCCAGTCTTTGGACCTACTCTATAGAGGCAGAGGTGGTCATAAAAAGTATTTTCTGGCGCTTTCAACTTTGAACATCTTTAAAGAAGTGGTGGGGGAAACTTAGTAGAACTGAGTGGAGTTCAACACTTCAGGAGGTCGGGGAACTCAGTCTGGGCCTTGCAGCCCGAGCTCAGTCTGCTTTGTGGGGTTCTGCCACCAGCTAGCTGAGATCAGGGGACTCGGCTCTGCAAATGGCAGCATATATTGTATATTATGACAGCAGTGATACAGTCTGAAAGAGGCCCTTCAAACTCATTTTTGTTTCTTTCTTTTTTATTCCACTCTGCAAATTCTTTTTTTTTCTTTTTCTGTTTTCTTTCTCCAACTCGGTCTCTTACTCCACTGTAGTGTCCCTCATCTCCTTTTCTGTTTTTGCTTTTGTTCTAACTCAGATTTCTTCTTTTATTATTTTTTTTCTCTTTATGTTCTTTTCTTATGTCATTCTACCTCACTCAAGGGTTACTATACTTCTATTTTGTTTGTTCTTTTTGAATTCAACAGTTTCCTGACGATTGTCTGGTCATTCTACATCTTTTGGCTTCATATGAAACCTTCTCTAATTCTTTTACTTATCTACTCCTCTTGTCTTAACTCTGTTTTAAGCCCCCATCATAAATGGTAAATATCCTTATTGAAAAGTTTATTCACTGTAAGCATATTTTGGATTGCTTCTTGATTTTAATTTAATTCACATGGTTTGAAGGCAATAGATTGATGACTACCATAAGTGGTCAATTTGCAAATTGTGCTTCATTATATTGTGGTGCTGATTGTATCAATTAGGATAAAGGATTGTGATTGATTCAATGAGCTGTTTTCTTCGATAGTATGAAAATGAGAATGTCTATGAGTCATTAGAGACCCATGGGCTGCAGCCCAACTATATCAGGAAGATTTAAGTAATAACCTAAAGGTTAAACTAAGGACAACCCAACAACAATCATAAAAACGAGAAAATGCTTAAGCAAGACACAGGGACAGGCTTCCAGTTCACCAATGGCAAATAGTGGGGCAAATGAGGTTGAAAAGTCTGATAGTGAATCATCAGGATGCCCTGAACTCAAAGCACAGGAAGTAACAAAACTGATCAATCAGGCTCTAGAGAAATATAGAACAGAAGTAATTTCCCAGATAATCATAGAGATGACAAGCAAAATGAAAGTTATAATTCGTGACTGTAGAACAGAAACTGAGAGGAAAATAGATGAGTTCAGGACCATGATAGAAGCCATGAATGCCCAGCATAAGAAAGAATTGGAAACAATAAATTCCCAATACAAGAAAGAAATGGAATCCATAGGACAGATTCAAACAGATATCCAGGAGATTAAAAACTCCATTGAGAGTGTTCACAAAAGAATAAAAGTCCAAAGATAGAGTCTCAGATATAGAAGATAAAATTGCAGTCAATGACAGTGAAAAGAGAGGTCTTTTAAAAACAGTAGGGTAGGGCCGGGGATTTAGCTCAGCAGTTCCATGGCCTGCCTTGCAAGCGCAAGGACCCGAGTTCAATCCCCGGTACCAAAAAAAAAAAAAAAAAAAGCAGGGGATCATGAGAAATTGATCCAACAACTCTTAGACGATGCAAAGAAGAATAGCATACGACTGAAAGGAATTCAAGA